CATCGAGATTCACAAAGTGCTGCGCCTGCCACGAAATCTGCACATCGGAGATCCAAAATGAGCAAGTTGCACGAGGCTTTCGCAAATTTTGAAATGCGTTTCAGAAATGCTGCGCCTGCCACGAAATCATGCCTGCAGGTCACACGAAATGCTGCACTGGCCACGCAAAAGCATCCTCAAGTTCAAATTCCAAAAATGCGACCCCTCTCACGAATTCAGCCGTTTCACCTCAAAATATCGCATCCATGGTGCGGATTCCCTGCGCCTGCCACGTGAAACGCAATCCTGCGAATGACACACGCCTGCCAACGTTTTTGCAACGTCCACAAAACACTGCGCCTGCCACGAAATTTGCAAAATCTCCGATTCCTTGCACCTGCCACGTAAAATGACCTTTTCGAGGCTCCAATGTGTCGAATTCCTTGCGCCTGCCACGCAAAATGCACTTCATGTCCGAAAACGAGCACGGCACCCGCACGAGAGCTTTGTCCCGGAAGCGCGAAAGGCGCGGCCACCACTTTATGCGAGCCTGCGCAGTCGAAATGGACATGAGGAATTCAAAAAGTAACTTTTGTGCGAGCCGGCCCACGCAAAATGCCGCAGCCACACGCGCGAACCCTGATCTAAACCCGCTTAACTCTTACCGTAAGAACCCCTTAGTGCGGAGCACTATTTGGGGAAATACAGTCTCGATGCTCCCATTGAGCCAAGTTGCTCCGAGAAGAAAGCTCCAGTTGTACCGGAGCCCGCCAAAGCACATGCATCGGCTGGGGAGGCCTCACCTGCGGCGGTGAGCAAGCACAAAGCCGGATCCAACTTCAGAAGGTTGAAAGGCGATGGTTTGGGAAGGAACATTTCCTAGTGATGGCCTCCAACCTACTAGCGACTAGGTTCCAACTGCATTTTGAAGGGTTTCAACGACAATCATCTGACACTCTCTTCCAACAAACCTGGTTTGCCTTTGGTAGCGGGCCAATAGAGCCCATCCGCTTCCTACAGCAGTTAGCATTGTTAGGGATGGGGCTGGTTAGCGTACATCACCACTCAAAGAGCACCCTCCCATCTTTCTTTGCAGGTTGATCTTTTTGTTGTTCTCCCATGGGTTGGAACGGCTTCAGAGTCACCGTCTTGATTTGGCAGGCGAAGTTAATTGGTTGAGGGATGTGGAAGTGGCGCTTGACAATCTCCCCAGGCTCGAGTCCTGGGGAGCAAATTACCACCAGCCACCCTTGAATGATTCGGTGCAAAGAAATCACTTGCTAGGCGCTGTTCCGTCTCATGGACTTCCGCACGCATGAAAGACAAAAGAAAGTGAGCGCTGCCATAAGGTCTTGCTTTCTGCGCTACAAAACAGGAATCGGGAATTGGATTACAGTCAGTTGTTACGTTGTTCATTGCTGAATCGGGAACCGGAATTCGTGTACTGTGGCTGAGGCCCTCCACCTGAAGATTCAGGTCGATTTGCACGCTCATGTCCTAAAAGCAAATGCAGCATGAGAAATCAGCTGCAAGACCCTACAACCGATCGAAAACCTGACACCAACCACAGTAATTACCTCGTTTTGCGACTTTCCCTTGAGGAATCACATGGAATCACACACACGTCCTGCGGTGCCAGCATTTCTGAACCTCCAGCTTCTGCGATGCTCACCTGTCTTTCGGCCAAGTTCTTGGTTCCACTTGACATGAAACAAATCTGGATTTAAAACTTTGTCAGAAGGAAACGCTTCACTGCCGCTTCACGCTGCAAAAAATATCCAAAAGCCTGTTCTAATTTCGCATTTAATATGAAAGCGAAAGGAGGTCGACTGCTATCTTCCCAGTGGGCTTAAGCCAAAATGGACAAGCTTCCAAGACTACTTGAAACAATCATAGGCTATCTCAAAGACCCTCCAAACAGTTCACTACCAAGCTGGTTCAGACTGAACTCTTTCCAAACAACCAGAAAGGAACCCAAAACACAAAAACACACCACTCCGGCTGAGCATATCAAATTCAAAATCCCTGTACAGGAGCTACACTTCGGCTCCACTAGGAGCACCAGCTCATCACACTGCCTGCTCACCACAGACGGCCAGCGCATCCACCAGCCCCTTACGGTTCTGACGGCGACAAGGGCCATTGGAGACTTTGAGCCACCTGGCAGAATCCGAGGGAAAGGCGACACGCTACTAGGAACAAGTGCATCGCTTCTAGTAACAAGTGCCTTACTAGTAGTAACAATGTTTGCTACTAGAAACAAGTGCCACGCTAGTAGTAACAGGTGCCTTACTAGTAGTAACAATGTTTGCTACTAGGAACAATAAGCTACTAGGAACAAGTGCCACGCTAGTAGTAACAGGTGCCTTACTAGTAGTAACAATGTTTGCTACTAGGAACAATAAGCTATTAGGAACAAGTGCATCGCTTCTAGTAACAGGTGCCTTACTAGTAGTAACAATGTTTGCTACTAGGAACAATAAGCTATTAGGAACAAGTGCATCGCTTCTAGTAACAGGTGCCTTACTAGTAGTAACAAGAACGCTACTAGGAACAATAAGCTATTAGGAACAAGTGCATCGCTTCTAGTAACAAGTGCCTTACTAGTAGTAACAATGTTTGCTACTAGGAACAAGTGCATCGCTAGAAGGCGAGCATCACAAGGGCCTAGAAGCGATGCACTTGCTCCGTTCGTAGCGAGGCCAGGAGCCCTGTTCGTAGCGTCCTTGTTACTACTAGTAAGGCACCTGTTACTAGAAGCGATGCACTTGTTACGTTCGTAGCTTCTTGTTCCAAGTAGTGCCAGGAGCCCCTAGTAGCGTCGTCCTTTGCTCCTAGTTCTACGGCCTGCTTTAGGGTCGTCACCAGCAAGTCCAGAAGATTGTGATAATTCAAGTAACCAGAACCCCTTCCAATACTCCTTGCTCTCAAAATTAACTCAAGGACTCAGGTCTCCGATGCCTTACCTCTCCCACCTTCAACAGAACCGCAGGAGAGCAGGTCGGTTCTGGAACACGTCGACTACTCCACATCTAAAGTCAAATGGCAACTCTTTGTGTGGTGTGCCTGGAGCGGATCTCGACTGCTGGCTCCTGATCTTGGCCACCGGTTTCCAATGGAATGCTGATCACTGGGTTCTCCATCACCACGTGGAGCCTCGACAAACCGCATTGTTTTCCAGGCAGAGCTCACAGTGGCACACAGCGTGCTTACCAGAGCTGCCTGGTGAGGGTGGGCACGGAGGATTCCGCTTGTCGGATGTCCTCCGTCAACATTGGCATTGAGCAAGCACATGCAAGCACCGAAATTGTTTCTACTAGCTTCTTGTTACTACTAGTAAGGCACTTGTTACTAGAAGCGATGCACTTGTTACTAGTAGCTTATTGTTTCTACTATGGCAGCAAAAGGATCAGCTGATGGCGGATCAGCTGTGGTTTTCAATGTGCCATGTGCCGTGCTGTGCCAGGCCTTCTCAGCAGCCTCACGGTTGGAGCAGAGATAACATTCTGAGACTCTCACTATACTGTCAAAGCCGGCAAAGCAACAGGCTGTGCAAAGCATTGAAGCTCTAGAGAGCTATCTAGATGTCATTCGGCTTCAAAAGGTGTTGTGTTCATGTTCAAGTCTTTAAACAAATGCCCGTCCCGTGACCTCCCAGGCAGAAGCGGTGGCAAAGTCTCCTGTGATGTGCCAAACAGAAGATTCGGCACTGAAAAAAGTCTTGCGAGATGCTTTCTTTGCTGCCCCTTGCTTCTATGAACTGCAACAAGAATATTCTTCATACGAAGAATATTGTTCAGGTGTTCA